GGTGAAACCGATAGTGAGAGAAGGTGAAATAGCAATGACAAGAGAAGAAGAAAGACAAAGACTTGTTCATGAGAAACAAAATTGAGAGAGAAGTAGCCTTGACAGTTTCCAAGTTGGTGAAGACCAACATTAGCCTAAGAAAGGAGTGAACTCGCATGTAGGAAGAGGAAATTTGTGGAAGGGCCTTGTGTGCGAGGGAATCTTGTGCCCTAGTTGAGGAAAAAGGAGAAGGGGAAGAACTTCATCGAGCTTTCCAGCGTTGGTTCGAGCAATAAGTTGAGGAGCGAGCCTCGTGTGTGATTAAGGAGAAAAAATTAAAAAAAGAGAGAAGTCGGGCTCAAACATCTTCTTACAAAGGATATGGGAACGATTTCTGTTTGCAGGTTTGAGCAGAGGAGATGTAGAGCGAGCTGCGTGTGAGTAAAGGGGGACAACTCATCTTGTGTGCGAGAAGGGGATTGGGGCAGCCAGGACATTTAAGGTAAAATTTAATTAATTAATTAATTTATTATTTTAAGACGTTAACTAATGTTAGAAAATCAAGGTGGAGCAAATTTAAGATTGTTCATTGAGGAGTTTTGAAGAAGTGAAGATTAGACTTTAACTTTCAAAAGTAATTTGTTTAAATTATTATTATTATTTGTATTAATTAAGGATGTAAACTCATAATTAAAATGAGGAAATTGAATTATAATTAACAAAAATATAATTAAGTAATATGAGATAAATTTATTAAATACAATATTTTATATTATAGATGCTAACTTAAAAGCAACAACAAAAGTCGAGAACAAGTTAGAATCATAGTGATTATGTTTTTAAGTTACTATGGTATTTATTATTTTTAATATATTTCTACTTACAGTTATTATTATTATATTTTGTATTGATGAAATTAAACCACATAAAATTCTTCTTAATGCTAGTCATGAGGTATGTATGTTTAATATTATTATCTTAATAGTTGCATAATAATTTATTTTAGAAAGATATCATATTATTGTCTGACTATTATGTTTTAATAGAGATGTATATGTTAGTTTATTGTATGATCAGATATATATATGCCACTTTATTATTTTACGTTTAGAATTTTAGTAAATATGCATATATTAGTTTATTTAATGACTTATAGATTTAATAAGATTGCATTTATTTATCAATAGATATAGGCAAAATGTTTCATAAAGAAAGAATGCATGATATGAAGGATGAAATAATGTATATATGAATACTTGTATGTGCATATCATGAGGATGAGTTCACTTACTTATGGTGCAGGCACGGGTTGCTATTGTACATGCGTGCGTAGATGTTTTCCTACAATCCCAATCAATTGAGATATTTAGATCGTTGATCATTGTGCCGACAAGAGAATATCGGACAGGGGCTATTAGGTATATTTCCACCTCAGATAACTGTGTAATTTAAACAAATCGTTGTGTCAGCCGGATAATTTCAGTCAAGGGTGTGTTAGGTTGTGTTTTGACGGTACTCTTAAAATGGATGTAAAAGTTAAGGGGTTGTTTGGGATCAATTTTTGTTTTTGTTTTTGTTCTTGTTTTTATTTTTGAAAAAAAAACAGAAAACAAACTGAAAAATAGTGTTTGTTTATTGTGTTTTTTTTTATATAAACACTTATGTTTTTAAAATACTCAAAACACAAACAACATGTTTTTGCCTGTTTTTAAAACACAAAAAATTTCTCCCTCGCGAGCCCGATCCCTCCCCCTCCTCACGCCGACTGCCACGCTCTTTCTCGATTTTACCCCTCCCCTTCCGCTTCCTCCTTCGCCACGACATCGACACCTTTGCCCGCCTCCACGACTATAGCTCTCTCTGCTTGTCAGGCAGCTCGCGTCTCCCTCTCCCATCGCACTTTCTTCCTTATTGCCGAGTGCTTCACGAATGTTGGAAAACTTAACCATGTAGTCTGTTTCTTGCTCTACCTTCACCACCATGGCTGCCATCAAGATCTTTGCGTTTTTAACTCTCTTCTTGATGTCCTCTGCAAGTCTTGCCGCGTCTGCAAGGCTACCTCCTTGTTCAAATCCTTCAAGTCCCACTTCAGCGCTGTTGCCATCACGTTTAGCATCCTCGTCGAGGGTTACTGCCTTCTCAAGTGCATTGCAACGACTCTTGATGTGATGAAGGAAATGGTGGATTCCGACCTGGAGTTGACGTTGATCACTTGCAATATCTTGCTAATGGGTGCTCTTCTTTCAAATGAAGAAGAGAGGGAGGAAGGAGGATGAGGATGTTGGTCGGATGTTGTTTCTTATACCTCGGTGGCATGGTCTCGGGATTGCCTGCCAGATCGAGAATGCCGGCAAGGTTTTTGACTGTATGATCTTCTCAGGGTGCTTGCCTTCCATAGCAACATAGAATGCTTTGATACAGGTGTTATGCTAGAAGGACTGCATCCATAATGCACTATTGGTGTTTGACGAAATGCTAAGAGGATACTCCCCCAATGTGATTGCCCACAATGTGGTGACCAGGAGGCTATGCCATGGTGGTGAAATGGGTCGGGTGATGGAGTTCATGGAGAGAATGCAGAACGAAGGATGTAAGCCTAATGTTCGAAGTTATTATGTAGTGATAAGGATTGGTGTGAAGAAGGTGAGGTGGAGAAGGTTTTGAAGTTGTTTGGGAGGATGAAGGAGGGAGGCAATTGTTTGTCTAATCTCGATGCATACAACAAAGTTATCAAGAAGTCGGAGGGCATGGTGGTGACTGGGAGGATGGTGATGGAGATGGAGGAGTGCAGACATTAGCCTAGGACGTTCATGTTCAATAAGGTGTGCAATGGGCTGCTGCTAACTTGAAATCAAGATTTTTCCCAAGAGATCTTGAGGTCGCCAGATAAATTTGGGTGTTTGCATCGAGAGATCAACCTATGAAGCTTCCAAGTGAAATATTATTAAGTCTGAAATAATGTTCGGTTCGATTAAGATTAAATCTAATTAAATTCATTTCAAACGTCTGACATAAATCTCCTTAAAGTATATTTTTCTTAAGCTAAATCGGTTAAATCCAAACTAATAATTAGATTTATTGTAATATTATTACAATTACTATTTATATGAGGATGACATATTTACATAGTTAGAAATAGTGATATTTTTTAAAAAAAATATATAGGTTTTTTTCTAAAAAAGAAAAGAAAAATACCAAAACATGTTATATATTTTTTGGTTTTAAAAATAGATTAAGCATAACAATATCAAATGTGTTTTCTAGAAACAAAAAATAAAATAAAAAAAAAAGAATAAAACAAAATAGAAACAAAAAACTGAAAGTGATCTCAAACAGGGCCTAAATGTATGAATCAAAGGTAAAGTTAAAATATCAAACATTGAATAACAAACTTAAAGTTAATGTATATCAAAGTATAAATTTATTCCATTAAGTAAATGTCATGGACACATACATTAGATTATTATAAGATTTTCATAGTAATATGCAAGACCAATGTACATATTGCTTTATTTTCCTTGAGTTACTGTAGTTTAGAAGTGTAATTGCTTATATTTAGTTAATTCATGGTGTTTTAATATTTTTCGAAGGTATAAGCTTTTAAATAAGATGAATATCAGAGAAGCTAATGTGTATAGGAGATGAGAACTTCAACCAAAAATATAACTTTTTTTTTTAATTAATATGTTTCTTTTAGTGGCTCTTTCACTTATTTTTTTAAATATTAAATTGTTAGTGATAAAACTAGAAATATAGAAAACTTAATTCCATCATACGACTTTCTATTCCCTCCTTGGTTAATTCCAAGCCCGGTTCTAGGGGTGTCAATACGGGTTAGCAGGTCGGGTTAGCAGGTTGGGTTCGGGTTCCGATCAAAAAATGACCCGACCTGAATAATAAACGGGTCAAAAACTAAGACCCGAACCCGCTAACCTGAACTCGATTCGAAATTTCGTGCTTATTCAGATCATTTTTGGGTTTTTAATCCCAAACCAAATCGAATAATAAACGAGTCGAATTTTCTGACCCGAACCCGACTCGAAAAAATATTTGGGATTTTTTTAGTTGAGTTTGAGTTGGGTTAATTTTTGACACCCCTACCTGGGTCAGATCTTGGCAAGGAGCTCCAAACATCATGATCCAATCGTTTCCTTCTCAGCTACAATCCAGGCAACGGGCTCTAATCACGACCGTCTCGCGAGGGGTCTTAGAATACTGCAATCTAGTTGTAGCCTTCCTAGCGGGTTCTAACTACTTCTATCTCGTGGGGGGTCTCCAAAGACGAGATGGTAATGGGTGAACTTAGGAGGGGCAGGAGTTATGCAATAAAATGCATAGGCAATCTCGATGGGATTAGGTCGCCGTTTCGATTGCGAAGATGGGCTCTGACGCTGTAGTTTTTGGGAGGAGAAAAATAGTTATTCCTCTTTAATTTTCTAAGGCTCGAGTACAAAATAAATAGCAGGGGATGACCACTACATTAGAAAACTATATTAGGAAAGCCACAAAATTCTCATGTTAGCAAAAGAAAATAGAAATTATCAAATTGAAAGTTAGAAAATAATAAATTAGAAGTTATCAAAAAGAAAAATTCCTAAAATTCTGACATGCACATACCACAAAATTTTTATGTATTCACATTTCTGACACGTAAGTATTGATATTTACTTAAATAACATCAAAATTTTTAACATAATGTAAAAATACCAGTAATATTAATTTTTTCTATAGTGAAATACATCTTTTTATGCATATGTTTTGATGCGATCGTGACACTAAAGTGTTATATGAGTAAATATTAAAGTTTAAATGTTAGATATATAAATACATAAAAATTGTGTGGTATATGCATCCTTCTATTTGTAATTACTTTCTTTTCTCTGCGTGCATTTATTAAATTCATATTATGACCTTAACTATGAATCTCACTCCGTCATTATATATTTTTACCACATAAATAAACTTGAATATCTATTTTCCTTTTTATTTAATTATCCACTGAAATTTTTGTTGATTTCTAGGGCGTTGATGTTCTCAATGGAATTGCTTGGGATGAGGAAAATAAGCGTCTTTTTGGTTAGTCCATTATTCTGTATTCAGACCGTTCTTATTTGAGGCATTTACATGCATACCACACAATTATTATGTATTTACATATCTAACACCCAAAGTTTTATATTTACATACAGAACATTCTAATCTTTAATTTCACATAGAAAATGTCAATGATACTGACTTTTTAAAAGTGAAGTACATCTTTTCATGCATAGGTTCATGGCATCAAAGAGTAATAAATATAAATATCAAACTTTAGGTGTTAGATATGTGAATAAAGGAATTTTGTGGTATGTATGTAAATTTTCCTTTTTTTTCATAAAAAAAAAATTGTGATTGCTATGTATGAAGTTTTCAGTGACAGGGAAGTTGTGGCCAAAGCTCTATGAGATCCGGCTGCGCCCTGTAACTCCCCCATTTGATGGTAATATAGAGAAAATTTGTCCGATTAAGGGCTTCAAATGAGAAGATTTAAGCCATTAGGTATGAATTTCCTGCATTTTTTAATTATTCCTTCATAATATGATATGCATAGATTTATGTATTTATATAATAAATGATAAAATATTCAATATGAGAAAATAAAATCTCCTTTTTGATGCCTTATGATACAATAATTTTGGTGGTTTATCGAGTTAAAAATATATCGTTTTTGGCTTGGAATGGGCAAAAATCTGAGTGCAAAATATTCAAAAGGGGCATTTTACAGACATACCACCACATAATTCTTATATCTTTACATATCTAACACCTCAACTTTTATATTCACAAACTTCCGCCCAAATCTTTAATCTTACATAAAAAATATCACTATTACTAACTTTTAAAAAGTGAAATATATATTTTCATGCATGGATTCTGGCACCAGAGTCATGAATGTAAATATTAAATTTTAGAAGTTAGATATGTTAATATATAAGAATTGTATGCTATGTATGCAAATTTCCCTATTCAAAATACATATTTTGTCACTGTAGCTACTGCTAGTTGTCCTTTCCCTTCCAAATATTGCTTTGGATTCATTGTGTATATATAGGGATGTAATTTAGCCTAGCCATCTTGTGAAATGGGTTGAGATTAGCTCGATAAATCTTCATGAGCCAACTTTGATCCGATAATGAATCAAGTTTGAGGCAGTCCAACCAAATTCAAAGATTTGTATAATTTTAACTAATTAATTATTTTTTTAATTGGGTTTAATGATAAAATGTTGAGGTGAAGAGAATTAATGATATAGTGATTTGTATTAAACTAATGGTTGGAGCGAGTAGTAATGATCTTTCGACTAGAGTTTAAATGTAATGGTAAAAAATTTTCTTTAAATAGAATTGATAAACTCTTATGTGATATGCCTTAAATAATTTATGGTTGGATTGTTGTTAATAACCATAATTAATGGAGATTAATAAAATAAAGTATGATTAATTATAAAGGTGTAATCTGTATCTAATCATTTTTTTTTTAATTTTTTATCTATGTCTATGGTTGAATTGTTGTTTAGTATTTATTTATTTATTTTAGTCTACTAGACTCCAGTTCATAATGGAGTTGATTGAGCTGTATGTAGTCATGTTGAGCACAAGCAAAGTACTGGGAGCCAAAAGTTAGGGCTTCTATTCTACTTCTAAGTCAAAGGAAAAGTTGAACCTTGATTTCATTTATAAATAAAAAAGCTTTGATTGCAACTATTAAATTTCTAAATAATATATTAGAATTTGTTTTAGGAGGGAGAGCTATTCAGGAAGAGAGGAAAAAAAAAGACACGAGAATTAGGGAAAAAGTAATCCAAGAAGTGATGGTTGATGATTTTTGTACAAGAGGAAGAAGGGTATTTAAGGTACAGATTTAATCGGAAACTCTTAGAAAAATTTTTGGTTAAAATTTGAAGGTATATGTTTTATATTGCTAGATTTAAGATTTGAGTAATTTAAAAAACTGAAATTTGATTAGAGTGATTATAATTGCTAATTTAAAAATCAAATGACAAAATTAACTAATTTAATTGTAATACTTCATTACATAATAAATTAGGTTTATTAAGTAAATATTATTAATACAAAAGAAGAGAGGAATGTGATGAGGAGAATCATAGAATTAAAAGAAGATTTTATACAAGTTAGCTTGTGAAAATAATTTGTGTGATTATTTATGGTTATAGAACTTGAACCAAGCAGTTTAATTTAAGGCTAAAGAGAAATATATATCGACAAATATTTTGAGATTGGGTGGGGTAATCATATATTTATTTTATGTTAATTTTTCATTCTTGTCTCAAGTGGATGTAAGGTCTGACTTATTTATATTTATAATACTGTTCATTACACAACTCTAATATAAGTTATTTTTATTTGAATTTGATGGAGTTTACTCTCTTATGGTACTAGCTAAATCACTATCTTGTTGTATTTGCTGAATGTGTTAATTTGTTTGCATGTAAATTAAGAAAATATTTGGAAAAGAAAATAGTTGTACCTATACTCGATGCAAAAATTAATCGGCGCTCTTGTGATGGGCGTATTTTATTAATAGATATGATAAATTTTTTTCTAATGTCCAATTGCTACATGAAAGACATTCTATTGTTTTCTTGAATAAATTAATCTTGCGCATATCCTAATTTTGTATTCATACCAATTGTTAATGTTAGCCTCCAGATGATTTGCATGCGTATTATTGCTATGATTGAAATTGCTGTAATATCATACTTTATTTAGCCGCCGAGTTGCTGTTCGACTCAAACCTATTAGTTGATATTCATTTTCAGGAAAATCTTCTTTAAATTAAATGGATGATAGAAGAGAAATTTTATATAGAAGATGAAGAGCAACCAATGAATGGTATCAATGAAAATATGTGTTGAAGTGTTTCTTATTTGAATTGTTTTGATTTCAGATGTATAATATAAATGAATTATAGTCTAAACTAGAATGAATAATGTTGCATGATTTAGTGCCTTTTTGAAATTTTGTACAACATGATTGTTTGACTATTTATTATATTAATTGAATGGAATTAATTTTTTGTTAGACTGTCAGTCTCCATTTATACATATTTCATGGGGTTGGGGCTTAATAGATTTGGTGTAATTATTACTAGGTTAATTGACATAGAGAATGAGGGATATTGTAGTAGAATTGGACACCAATGGTTCTATTGAACTACAAGTACAAATCTCGGGTCCTCTTTCATCCATTTTTTAAATTCTCACTCAAATATCAAAATTCATGATCACCCCTACCCATATTTTTCATTTTTATTAAATTTATAATAGTTTGAATGCGATGCGCATAAATGCATAGGTTTGGTAGTTCAAATAAGTACTCGGGTGCTAAATAACAATGTTTTAAGTGCCATGTATGTAATTATCCCCATTATATTTATTAAAATGGCAGGTAGGTTGTTATTATAGGCAAATTTTTTTTGGTATCAACTGATGATTATGACAAGTGCATGCAGAATTTTTATTCTTTCATGGCAAACTATTGAAGATATTTGAGCTTGAAGTTTAGTAACATGATAAGGAAGCTTAATGGCCTAAGTTTTCTATGAAGATTTGATTTTATAATGTTTCAAGCTCATGTTCTCTAGGCAAAGAATTCAAGATTTACATACATACCTCTCAGTTCTTATGTATTTACATATCTAACTCCTATACTTCAATTTTGACATGTAAGCCACCTTGCCTATGCATGAAAATGTGTGTTTCACTTTGCAAGTAGTGGTATTTATTTCTTGATATGAAAGAGTTGGCTGGTATGAATATAATACAAAATTTATGTAAGTATGATATTAGACGGTATGTATGTAAATGCCCCTAAATTCAACCCCTCTTTATATTTATCTTGCATCATCTTGGTGTCAACTCATCATATCAATTAGATGTGTTCGACAAAACGTCTTGCAGCTTAGTGTCAATAGGTAGCAGACTCGATGAATAATGTTGGCTTTGTTTTCTAGAACCAACTTGCCCAGATGCAACTAGAACATATGTCTATGTTGGCTCTCCTCTCAAGGGGAGGGATATTGTTATTAACAATAGGCTAACGGCCGCTCTATTTAACAACTCATTAATGCCGTTTCACTTAGGTTATCCGTTGCAACGGCGTTTTGAAAACGCCGTCTCACCGTTTCCACTTAGGTTATCCGTTGCAACGGCGTTTTGAAAATGCCGTCTCACCGTTTGAAACTGCGTTTGAGCAGCTTATCCGAAAACGCAGTTAGTTTTTTACACTAAACGCGGAACGCAGGTCGAACTCCACGGTCTGCATTTTTAGATAAGTGATTTATCTGGATAAACACAAGCTATCTCAAACGCATTCTTACTTTCTAGGATAAGACACACTCATCTCTTCTTTTGCACCAAGTACATTGATGGTTTTTATGTGCGCTCCTATTAAATGATTGCTTATTTTTAAAATTTAAGTTCAACACTCACACATTGCATAATTTTGTTTGCGAGTACCATTTATTTGTGTAAGGATGATTGGAACTTGGTTGTTGGAGGATAAATCATGTTTGCTTGTGTAGTTAGGCAAACCATTGGCTTTAAGCCTATAATAGTTATGACTAGAAATATCTCAACTAATCAACATGCACGTAATCATAATATTAATAATTTGAGTATGCAACTATTTTATTTTTTTAATGGATACATTAATAAATCTCTGCATATAATGTTTTATTATTATTATTTTATTTAAGCCTACACAAACAGTAATTGTGAGAATTATGAATTGATGGATTTCAAATTGTGTAATGATGCCCATGTGGGCTCCGAAAATTTGAAATATCCTACTCTTTTCAAGAGCTTAGTGTTAAGTTTTGGGTCAAATTTTCAAAAGTCATATGAGATGGTAATAGATAAGTTGCTATCAAAAGATTTTGTCATCATTTTGCAAAGATTTTAAGATCTAGGGTTTGAGTCTTCCCATAGAGGGTGGGGTGCAAGCCTTTATGATTAATTATTTGTTGATGGAAGAAATTTTTCAATTAAAGCTTGTCATTAAGCGTTTAATATTCAGATTTAGCATATAGTAGTATTAGTAAATACAAAATTATAAAATTATCACTACTAGCTTAAAAGCAGATGATTGTGAAAATGATGATGGATCAGATCATGATTTCATGGTTCTGTCATCCTGAGTTGTCATGACTCATAATCTATTTAGTCAGAGGATATAGTTGATTTATTCTGACAAAATGATCAATATCAGCAACTATGAGTTATTTCGTCCGAAGGAACTTTTAGACTTGGGAATATAACATATGATTTTATACTCAAAAGGGCATACTATTTTAGGGATTATACAAATGACAGTTGTGATCGTTTTACAGTTGTGTTTGTTGGCCAAACTACTTGATGTAGTCTATTGGACAAACTGCTTAGTTAGAGGACTTCGGTTGTAACCGCTTTTTTTTGTAGAGCCTACTGGACAAATCACATGGACAAAGGGCTTGAGCCACGTCCTCACTAGCTTAAAATTATTTTGAGTTTGAATTTATTAATATGCTTGATATGAAATTAGTTCTTTGTGAGCTCGAGTCAACATTAGATTTGCCTACTCGCAAACAGTTGTGGATAATAAATGGATTTTGCTAGTCGATTCAACCTGACAAAATGATCCTTGTCAGCAACTATGAGTTATTTCGTCCAAGGGAACCTTGTAGACTGGGTGAATGTTTGTTTAGGGGAATTAATTTTAACAACCTTAGCTTACATAGGACTTGTTGCCCTATTATGATTTTATACTCAAAAGGGCATACTACTTTAGTGAATATACATATGATAGCCGTGAATATTTTATAGCGGTGTCTGTTGGCCTAACCACTTGATGTAACCTATTGGACAAATTACCCAGTTAGAAAACTTTGTTCGTAACCACTTCTTTTGTGGAGCCAACTGGACAAATCAAATGGACAGAGGACTTGAGTCACGTCCTTACTGGCATAAAATTTTTTTAAGATTGAACTTACTAATATACTTGATATGGTTGGTTCTTTGTGAGCTCGAGTCAACATTAGATCTGTCTACCCGACAAACGGTTGTGGATAATGGATGGATTTTGCTTTAAGCATTTTAGTGAAAGATTTTTCATTTTATCATTTTATAGATTTTGTGATTTGAAGTATTGAATTTTATATATAGATACCCTCCGGTTGAGATGTGAAATGAGTATGTACATTATCGGGGAGTGATTTTTTTAAACCTTGTCGACTATGTCCCGCTTACAGATGATCGAGTTCATAGTACATATTATTATTTGAGTTTTAAAAATTAACTTTTAGTTTTAATTTTAAAAATAGCTCCACCAATTATGTGGATAAAATAATTTTGAGTTTGAATTTAATAATATAATTTATATGAAATTAACTCTTTGTCAGCTCGAGTCAACAATAGATTTGTCCACCAGACGGATAATGCATGGATTATGCTTTAAGCATTTTAGATTTTTCATTTGATTATTTTATAGATTTTGTGATTTGAAGTTTTGACTTATGTAAATAGACCCAATTCAGTTGAGATGTGCCATTGGTGTATGCATTATTCAGAAGTTGATCTTTTTTAACCTTATTTATTCTGTCCTGCTTATAGATGATCGGGTTCATAGTGCATGTTATTATTTGAGTTTTAAAAATAAATTTTGAGATTTGATTTTAAAAATTGACCCCTTTCGGTTGAAATTTACTATCAACACGACCATCATCGGGGAACAATTATAACTGAAATATCATTAAGAGTACTAGTTTTGTCAACTCAAACCTCATGAGGAGGATCGAACTGGCATAACGAGGAGGATTGGATTGGCTAGATGTGACACTTACAATCTTGCCCTATAGGCATGACTGCTCGTTGCCCTCGCAGCATTTTCAAATCACGTGTATAAAGATTAATTAACTGGTCACATCACATACAAGAATGTTATATTCATTAGATTGAATCGACTTTTAGGGGGACGCTATTGTTATTTTAACATGTTTTATTATTGAGATGAGTATAAATATTTTCAATTAAGCGATCAATTTAGTCTTTTGTACGCTTGTGAACTTGGATTGTGGATCAAAGACGTGAATTGGATATACTATCATGGCTTTTAAATCATATTCTAGTTAGATGCTTTCACAAGATGTCGTTTTAGATTTTTTTTTTTTTTTTTTTTTTTTTGTATATATATTCTGAAAATTGTGTTTATATGACTTGTTAAATTCAAGCAGGCCCCACACAATATTTTTTTCCTTAACATTTTCAATTCATTTCATTTAGTTCTGAATTCAGTTTTCAGTGTCTAGAAGTTTTCTCAAGTATTAGAAGATTTTGCCGGTTTTCTAATGGGCGGCGATTCAAATTTTCAAGTAAGGTGCCAAATTTTTCTTAGTTTACCTTTTTAGCCTCTTCTAATTTAAGTTTATAGAAATCTCTTTTAAGCTTAATCTATAATTTACTTAAGCTATTAAAGTTCTGATTATGTTTATTTTAAGTCTTAATTTAAATCCCCTAGTAAAAAAAATTTACTAGCCTCCTGGCGATATCCCTGCATGGAGGCTACCTCGGGTTTGTTGAGTCGTACATAGGGGTGTAAACGAACCGAACACGAACGAACAAAGCTTGTGTTCGTGTTCGGTTCGTTTAAAATTTAGTTTGTTTGAAATAAGCTCGTGTTCGTTTCTTAACGAACGAGCCGAACACGAACCGAACACGAGCTGTTCGCGAACGACGAGCCAGTTTGACATCCCTAATATTAATATATAAAAATAATATTATATATTAATTATATAACTTATATTATATAAATATACAATATCTATATTAGTATATTACTACTATAGTATATTAATATATTATTATTATTATTTTATTATATATTATAATTTATAAAATTTAATGTTTTAAAATATAATAAATTTTTTATATATAATTATTTTATATTTCAAACAATAACGATTCGAACACGAACGAACGCATCACTGTTCGTGTTTGGTTCGTTTA